CTCAAAGCTTGACTTTTTGTTTCTTGAATCATTTCAGTTTCTGATACGTTAAGTGGATTCTTCTCTTTTGGTTTTCAAATTCTAGGACTTTGCACATTTCATTGTAGTATTTGGTTTTGTCCGCTGGAACTTACCTTTGACATTTTCTATTCATCTCTTTGAATTTATCCTTTCTTCCACTTCATTAGCTACTCTGCGATTAAGAGCAAGTTTTGGAGTGGTTTGAGACATCCACTTGGACCTTTTTCTTTTCTCTTCTTAGTCTGGAAGCTCTGCTGAAATCTGTTCCATTTGGGAGACTCTGATATCATTTGAACTACCAGTGACACAGCTTCCAACATCACAATAACACATAGGCCACGATAGTACGCAAACAAATGGTGATTTTATATTCTCACTAGTAATGTATTAGTGGTTTTAATTATTTCAAATATAAGGGAGTATCAAAAATATCATGGAAAAGTAGACTTTAAAGATAGGAGATTTTTCCCATCAACTCTTTGAAGGCCCTTCCTATTTCTGTCACCTCTTTCAGCTTCTTACATGGAGTTCTTCATTCATTCAAATTAAAATTCACTGTCATTGAGATATATAGTGACCCTAAAAGTGAGAGGCTTTAAATCCTTAAGGAAACAGAAAATCTCATGTATCTCCCAGACAGTGGGCTGATGGGTTTGAATGATCAACCTTGCTCAACATATAACCCATTATTCCACCAGGGATCCCTTTCATTCATTACAAATACTCAATTTGATAGTACCACATTTATATTTTTTCTTATATTTTGATTTTAACTTTTTTATTGGGAAGTACCTTTCCATTTTGTCCCCAAATATTTTGCCTTATGTTTTCTTATATTAGCCTTACAATTTTCCACAGCTCAATTATAAATTGATCTAGAATCCACTTTCATTTTCTTTTTTTTTTACATTCCTGCAATATTTTAATAATATGATATTCTTTATAGTGTGCAAAGCAATTTCAGAAATAGTATCATTTTGTGCTCATAATAAACCCAACAGATGACTATTACTGTCTCCATTTTATAAATAAAGATATTACAGCTTTAAGAGATTTTCTATTACTAACAGATCCATGGTTGTTACAAGGCAATATTGAAATTTATACACACTTCCTGATACATCTTAGGCTGGTTCTTATAATACAACTTCCTCTCGTGTACAGTATCGAGTATATCTCTCTTCTGAGAGAAGGAAATAATATCAATATAAAAGTGTAAACTTTACCCCTTTGTCTGTTGTCCATCCCCTGGGAGGGGGTTATAGGTAGCATCTATAGAGATCGTTTCCCCCTTTCTCCCCCAACCTTCCCCTTCCCCTCCTGGTATGGATACTCTCAGTATTGGTCCTGAGGAGTTTATCTGCCCTATATTCCTTGTGTTTTCAGCTCTTATCTGCACCCATGTACATGCTCTTGTCTAGCCAGATTTGTAAGGTAGAATTAGGGTCATGACAGTGGGGGGGAGGAAGCATTAAAGAACCAGAGGAAAACTATATGTTTCATTGGTGCTATACTGCACCCTGACTGGCATGTCCTTTCCCCATGACCTTTCTGTAAGATGATATCCAGTTACCCACAGAAGGCTTTGGGCTTCTATTCCGTACTCCCCTTCATTCACATTATGATTTTTTGCTCTGGGTCTTGATGCCCGATACCTGATCCCATTGCCACCTCATGATCACACAGGCTGGTGTGCTTCTTCCATGTGGGCTTTGTTGCTTCTCAGCTACATGGCCACTTGTTTATCTTCAAGC